ACTAATACTTTTAAGAATCATGTTCTGAGTCCGGAGATTTAGGTCAGTGGCACCGCACCTGCCTCACAAGCACAAGGTCCTGAGTTCAATCCCCAGTACCAAAAAAAAAAGAATCATGTTCTGATTTATGTTTTTCAAGACCCCTGTGTACAGTGCCTATAAATAGCATCTTGTGCATTAAAACAGAACTATTTTGAATAAAAGTTAAAACACAATATGTCTGAATTTGTGTGATACAGCTAACAGTGCCAGACGAAATTGTTTAGCAATAAATGTTTATATTAGAAAAGAAGTTAGATCTCAGATCAATAATCTAAGCTTCTACCCTAAGAAAAAATTTTTAAAAAGAGCAAAATAAACGCAAGGAATGATAAAGATGAGAACAGAATTGAATACAGTTGAAAACAGAAAAAACAGTAGTGACAGCCAAAGGTCAATAAAATTGGTAAATCTTTAACAAGAGTGACAAAGAAAAAAAGAAGACAACAATCGCTATCAGAAATGAAGAGGAGGGAATATTATTGCAGATCCAGTAGACACTGAAAGGATAATAATAAGGAAGCAGTACAAATGGCTCAGTACCTGTAAGTCAGTGTCATAGGTGAGTTGGACCGCTTTCTGGAATGCCACATACTACAGAAACTTACAGTGAAGTAAATTGCATGTGATTGGCCATATAACTGTTAAAGAAATTGGATTTGTAATTAAGAAACTTCCAAAAAAAAAAAATCCTCAGGCCTACATGGTTAGAATACTGAATTTCTTCAAATATGTAAAGAAGAAAGTCCAATTTTTACAATCATGTCCAGAAAAGAGAAGGGAAAACTTCTCAGTTTATTATATACAACCAGCATTACTCTGATACCAAAATCAGAGATAGTACAGAGTACAGACTAATTTCTGTGAACATCAATCAGTGTAAATATCCTCAACAAAGCATTAGCAAATTGAATTTAACCAGGTATAAAAAGAAAAATATATCATGACTATGTAATGTTTATCCTGGAGTGCAAGGCCAGTACAGTATTTGAAAATTAATCAGCATAATCCAGGGTACTAACAGTCGAAAGGGAGAACAAATCACATAATCATGTTAATAGATACCCCCGAAAAAGCACCAACTCCCCCAAACACATATATTTGGACAAAATACAACATCTTATAATAAAAAAACTTTAGGCAAACTAGAAATAGACGGGAACTTTCTCAACTTATTCAGAGGCATCTATAAAAATCCTGTAGCTGCCATTGTATTTAATGATGAGAGACTGAAAGCTAAGATGAGAAAGAAGGCAGGACAACCCAGGTCCGGTGACATGCACATGTAGTTAAAGCTACTTGGGAGGCTAAGGCAGGAGGATCTCTGGAGACCAGGAGTTCAAGGCCAGCCTGGGCAACATAGCTTTACTCTGTTAAAAAAGAAAAAGGAGAAGCTGGGGAAGGAGAAGCAACATGTCTGTTTGTTGTTTTGGTTTTTTTGGTACCGGGGATCGAACTCAGGTCCTTGCACTTGCCCAGCAGGCAGCGAAACCACTGAGCTAAATCCCCGGCCCTAACATGTCTGTTTTTAACACTTCTATTCAGCATTGTATTGGATATATTAGCCTAATAAGGCAAGGAAATAAAGGTCTATTGAAAGTGGAAAGAAAGAAATAAAACTGTCTCTGTTCATTGGCATGAATGTCATATAGAAAAACATCCAGAGAATCTCTCAAAAAAACCTAAAATCTCATAACTAATGTGAGTTTAACAAAGTCATGAGATAGGTCAACACAAAAATCAGTCACACTGCTGGGTGTGGTGGCACACACCTATAATCCCAGCACTGCAGAGGCTGAGGCAGGAGGATGGATTGAGGCCAGTTGTGGCCAGTTGAGGCTAGTTCGAGGCGAGCCTGGGCTCCATAGTGAGACCCTGTCTCCAAAAAATATATATATTACATATTTATTATTATATATTACATATTATATATTATATATCATATTATATGTTATATATTATTATGTATTATATATTATATATCAGTCACATTTCTATATACTGGCAAAAATATAAATGCCAGTATTACGTGTAATAGTTCAAAAAAAGATGAAGTGGTGAAGTGTAAATCTTATAAAACTTGGGCAGGGGGCCGGGGATTTAGCTCAGTGGTTTCGCTGCCTGCTGCGCAAGTGCAAGGACCCGAGTTCAATCCCCGGTACCAAAAAACAAACAAACAAACAAAAACCCAAAAACTTGTGCAGGATCTAGATGCTAAAAACTACAAATCTGCGAATGTAATTTATTTGGTATATAAACCATTTATTTGTCATCGAAATTTCTCTGTACTACCTTACTCTTGAGGACAGATTCTAGTGTAGCAATTCACTTTTACATGTTTTCCTTCCTTTATGTTATGTAAAATAGATATACTAGTAGACTTGTCTTACATATATTATCATTATTTTTCTCTAATTTAAAAAACATTTTAAAACTTTCAAGTTTGTTTTTTCTGATATAAAGGATCAATCATTCATCTCTGTAAGTAGGTGCTTTGAACTATTATAGATAATGTTATATAGTACTTCCTAAGATCCTGCGCTGCATATCACTGAGTGGTTTGGGGGGTTTCAATTTGGAAGATACAAATAATGTACATTTCTGCAAAGTTGTAATAGAATATGATATCCTCTTACATCAGCCTTGTGTTTCCTTCTTAGTTTTAGTTTTCCTCATTTAAGCCTTGTGGTTCATATGTCTATTCATTGTTTATACTGCTTGTTTATGTATGTCCATTATTTAAAGAAAAGTGGCCTATAAAGTTACTGAAATTCATATGAGTATATTTTGTGATCTGTGTCTCCAGGAAAATGTTATACCCTATTCTTTCTCAGGCCAGAACTGACATTTTGTACTTTAGTGTTCACATGTAAAAACTTGAGGATGTGTGACCCCTGCAGATTGTCACAAGGCTAAACTCTCCTCATGGTAATAAAACAAACACTTCCTTTTTATTTTAAGAACTGTCTTCATCACAAACCACTGCACAAGCCATTCTGATCAATTGTTCCACAGTTGTTTAGGCATGGAGAACATAAAGCAGTTTAGGAAGGTTGGCTGTTCTACTCAATTTAATGACATAGATAATGAAATCTCAAATGCGCTGATGATATTCATAGTTGACAATTAGGGTGGTTAACATATTTAAAGCAAGAACCAAACTCAGAATGATTTTAACCATTATAAAAATTTCCTTTAAAGAAGAATAAAATGAAAGATGAATTTAGATGTTATACCTAAAGTCAGAAGAGCAATAAAAGCATTTTTTTTTTTTTGGTACTGGGAATCGAACTAGGGTCCTTGCGCTTGTGCAGCAGGCAGTGAAACCACTGAGCTAAATCCTCGGCCCAAATAAAAGCATTTAAGAAAGGGAACTTACTAGATGGCAGTGTTATCCCACACCTTCCTCATCCACATTTGACAAATGCTGACATGAGCTGGTGCTCACTGTGTACTGTGAGAGAATCGCTTTCCTCTCACCCTTCCCTGTCTCTCTGCCCAAGGCCTGACCCCCTCTCTGATATATCTCCTAGGGTTCCATTGGCTTTTAGACTTAAGCTGTCAATGCTTACACCCACAATTTCCCCCAGAATTTTCCCCAGCCTGACAATGTTTGCCCATGCTCTTTATATTTCCAAACGACATCCTGCTACTACTGTGCCTAGGCATGGCTCTCTCTCCTTTTTTTTTTTTTTTTTTCTTTTTGTGGTACTGGGGATTGAACTCTCAAGACCTTGTGTTTGCAAGGCAGGTGATGAAACCACTGAGCTAAATCCCCAGCTCTCCTTTTTAATCTAACCTCCAGTTTCTGATTTCCAGTTATTACTAACAACAATGGTGAAAGATTCCTCAGAATCGTAATTGACCACAACCAGGATAGCAAATTTATTATTATTGGGGGAAAAGAAAAGGGAACAATAAACAGCCAATCTCATTCTGTCGTTTAAGATCAAGCATGGAATCTTTATGTTACAGTAAAACGATTATGTACTGAGAATTAATCTGAATGCTGTGCATACATAACCCATTTAATTCTTCAACAGAGGTGGGTACTGGGGATAAATCATTTTATAGATGAAATTCACAGGAGGTTAGTTCAGTTGCCCAGGGTAATGCTGCTGGTACAAGACAGAGTCAGAATCTAGTCCTGCTTGGGTGGGTCTAGATGGAGGCTGATACCACACCACTTCTCTACTTTGCCTTGCCATTAGAACTGACACCAAGTGCCAATCAAAAGAGCCAGGCAAGAACAAAGTGGACAGTGCTTAGATGACAATAAAAAAGTTCTGAAGTGCTCAGCAAATAGCTCTTATCTTCAAGGTTTAAAGAGTTTGGATTGTACAAATTTAGAAGTTGAGTGAGGAGAAAATACAAAGTAATCAGTTTTCAAACACGTAGAGGATAATTTTGAAGAAAGTAGTAAGTATTCTCTGTCAGTTGATTGACTAAAATAAATACCATGAAGTTCAGTCAGGAGTGCTTATGTTGGACATGAGGAATCATATCTTGCCATTGGGTCTAAGGAAAAATACACTGGGAAGTTCTGAAAGTCTTCAAAATAAGTCTAGGATGGGTGCCTCTATTTAAGATGTCGGTAATTTTGCCTTGTGATTGTACTTTACCTATTTACTTTGAGCATATGTACTTCTTTCATATTCTTACTATTAGACTAAAATGTCAATAGAATTTTAGAACTGAAGACAACTAGTTTATAGGCAAGAAAATAGAATCAGAAGTCAGGCATGTGCTGTCATAGGACTGTGTAGTAAAGGACAGAGCTAAGTTTTAAACCCAAGTCTCTTGACCCCGTGTCCAAAGTTCAGGCTGCTTTGGGGTCAGGGGGCCGTGTCACACAGTCACAGAAGAGGATATTCTTTAGCATTTCTACTTAAGATCATGCGATTATTACAGAGCAAGGCCCACTGATTTGTGAAACACTCTTTTTTTGTATGTGTGTGTAGTATGAGCCCAGAGGACCCGGTCGGCCCTTGTACCAAAGAAGAATCTCATCTAGCTCAGTGCAGCCTTGTTCTGAAGAAGCAAGCACTCCTCAAGACAGCCTGGCTCAGTGTAAGGAGCTGCAGGACCATGGCAACCCTCCACCTTTCAGCTTCTCATCCCCAGAGTCCTGGGTGAACACCGCCGCGTCTGCCCCCTATCAGAACATTCCGTGCAATGGATCCAGCAGGCCAGCTCAGCCCAGAGAGTTGATAGGTAAGACGGAGTGAGTGGGTCTCCAGACACAGAGATTCCACTCCTCAGTGCCTGGATATTTACAAGGCTTTCTTCTAGCATTCCCTAGCCCTGTTTACATTATTTTTTTTGAACAGTTACTTAATGCTCAGCACTCAGAGGTGTGCCTTAGATATACACATTAATTTAGGACTATATTGATTGCATTCTTATGGTCTGGAAGGTTAGTAGATATATCCATGTTTGGAAACTGATCCTTTTCACCTGGGTTGAATAAAAGAAGTAATGGAACTTACAATGTATTTTTTTTTTCTTACAATGTATTTTTAAATAAATAGAATCACCCTTGCTTGGGAAAATTTTTGTTTTCTGGGGCTTTTGGGGGTTGAGGGTTCATCAGGGTTGCAGGTTAGGTCAATAGCAGTTTACAAGGATTTATTAGTAAAGTGTTGATAATATGCTATACAATGGTGTGATCATGTGAGGCAGACCAGCAAAGCCTCATATCTGGGGATTAACAAATGCTCTGTTTATTTCTTATATTCTGATATACCCAGAACTCCATGGCTGATGAAGAAGAGAGGCATAGGAAGGGATAGGAATGTACAGCACACTGGGAACTTGACCTGTGTGGTGGGAAGTTTAAAGGCTCTTTCTTTGGCCTGAAACACAGCTGCACTTTCGTCTTTCCTGTGTTCCCTCTTGCTACTATACTGACTGTAAAGAAACTAATTATCCTACTCAGGTTCTCTAATGTCCCTCTCTTTGTGGGCTGTATTCCTTGAACTTTGTGAACACATCTGAGATCTTTGTGCAGGAAATTTCTGCCCTGGTGTACTTAAAATTAATTTTGTTCATCCTAGAATGGGACTCCATTGTTTCTGTAACTGACCCATTTTTGAGTATGTGCCATACAAGCATATTTTTAGAACAATGGACATAATAGGACTAAACACATTAAACGATTTTGCTTTTATTTCCTGGCAAGAAACATTGTCATTTTAATCTTTAAACATTCATTAGTACCTACTATATGTAGTTTGCATTTTGCTTGGGGTTGTTTTATTTTTTAAAATCTAACATAAATACTTGAATTTCCTGAGAGACATCTAAATTACAAATCAGTTGTGATAATTCATTAAATTTTTTGGTCGGTTGGTTATTTATTTATTTATTTTAAAGCTAATCATTTCTTTTTTTCCCCCACCTAACTGTTAGGGTAGCTTTTGACCAAAATCAGTGAAAATTTGACCTGAGCTGATAAAGTAAAAAATTCTGGAACAAATGCTGAAGCTCATGTCATTCATTATGTCCTTTCTTCAAATATAGAATAATTATTTTCTTCATTGCCAGGTGATTAATTGTAACATTTTCTAGTTAAAACTAATACTTAAAAATTTCTAAATCACTGACGTTCTGAACTAGAATTTTTTGTTCATCGTTATTATTTTCCAGAGTAATATACTAATGGTACAGCAAATGGAAACTAATCACATGTGAAGCTTCTTTCAGAAGTTTTCAGATTTCTTGAACTTGAAGAAAGCTATGTTATGTGGGCTTTAAATTTAAAACAATCCAGTGATCTTTAGAGGGGAAGCAATAGTCTAGAAAGAAGTTAATGCTTTAAAATAATTGAAAAAGGCTGGGGATTTAGCTCTGCTTTCTCCGCTTGCTGAGCAAGCGTGAGGACCTGAGTTCGATCCCCGGTACCCCCAAAAAAGAAAATAATTGAAACAATTTTATGAATACATAAAATTAGCATATTGAATAAATGAAGTACTACAAAAAGTGAATATTTTCTTCTTAATATCCAAATTTTAGTTTTCTCTTATTTTGAGCAGTTGTCTTTTTGATGTTATGCTTTTTAAATTTTGTCATATTGAGTGAGAAGTAGCTTCCATCAAGTATTACCAGTATATTTTAGAAAAAAAATGAACCATTATAGTTTAGGCTTAAAAAAAGAAACATTAGCAGATTGGCTCCCATCTCCCTCCCTTCTCTCTAACTTACTTTGAATTGAAAGAGCAACCGTGCTAAATACCTGAAGATCAAAAGAGGAAAATATCTGATTCCTTCTCTTTGGTGATTGTCTTAAGCACTTTTGATTGCAGTAAACAGAAACCATCTCAACCTAGCTCAAGTACAAAGACTTATTGGCAAAAAGACCAGTTCCTTCTGAGAGCAACTGGATAGTTACTGATAATTGTGCATAATCCATGTAAAGTACATAGCACAAAATACCTGGCCCCATAGTAAAAACTCACACATATGGTTTGTCATTATCCTAACATCTCTGTGTTGGTCTCGATCTGTCTTCTTTCTTCTACTCTTCTTACCTGCCTTCTTAATGCTTTGCTTCTCCTTCTATGTTTCAGTGGCTTTGTGTTACCACAGCACTTTGGCTCCACATAATTTAGCTTTAGGTCTCAGTCTGTCAATCTCCCACTCCCTCACCCCTGCCTGTCGCACACACACATTTCTCAGAGAAATGTTTATAATCTATTGCAGTGTTATTTAAATTCTTTTAAGCTATAGCTTAGTGGGCAGTAACACTGATTAGGTAGGATAGAGTCAAATTTTATTTTATTTTTATTTTTAGAGTGCTAATAATTGAAACCATGGCCTTATGCAGGCTAGGCAAGCACTCTACAACTGAGCTACATCCCCACCCTACAGTCAAATTTTACAGACCTTGAAACTCTGGAAGATGATAAGAAGTATGACATAGCCTGCAGCTATTTTTGTTTTTTCACCCACCTTATTCTATATTTGGTTAAAATATATTATAAGAAAAGGTAATTTTTAAATGTTTTATCCCCCCTCTGATACTGGGGATGGAACTCAGGACCTTCACACTGAGCTACATCCCTAGTCCCTTTTTTTATGTTTTGAGACAGAGTGCTGGGATTACAGGTGTGTGCAACCATATCTGAACATTTTTTTTTTTTTTGAGATAAGTCGCTATGCAGTTTAGTCTGGCCTTGAACCCACTACGGAGTCCAGGCTGGCTGGCCTCAAACTCAAGGCGATTCTCCTGCCTCAGCCTCCCAGTGCTGGGATTATAGGGGTGCACCACTACACCTGGTGACCTGGACTTTTTTGAGACAAGGTCTCACTATGTAGTCCAGGCTGGCTTTGAATTTATGATCCTCTTGCCTCAGCCTCCCAAGTGTTGAGATTATTAGGCATCTTCCACCACACTCAGGTTATTGGAAATTTGCACCTTTACATAATCTCTTGGTTCTTATTAGGGTAGCTTTTTAATTTTTTTTAGCAAATGGAATTCAGTGCCACTATTACTTAGATTAATAGTAAGAGGGGTTTTTTTGTTTGCTTGCTTGTTTGTTTGTTTGTTTGTTTGTTTTGGTACCAGGGATCGAGCTCGGAACTTTGCTCTTGCGAGGCAGGCTGCAGAATCACTCAGCTAAATTCCCGGCCCCAATAGTAAGAGTTATTTTGACCAAAAGTCATCATATAAAGCTCACTGTAATTTAAGGGTACAAACTGAACAGTCGGTATGATAAATATCAGCATGTACAGTTGTACATATAGTTCTTTATTTTTCAGCAAGCCTTCATATTTGACCATTTAGTTTTTATGTGTTAGCCATTCCAGTTCACATGGTTCTTTTGTGTGTTGTTGAGGTAGAGGAGTTTGTTTAGAGGTATGATTTCTGCATTCGGTGGCAGAAGTTGTCTGACCTCCTAGCTATACTGTCCTTGAGTTCTTTGAGGTAAGACCCAGCTATGGCCTTCTGAGCTAAGGACATATAAGAATGCTGCTGGCTGACCATTAAACCATTGTTGCTGTTCTTTGTTTCTAGCTCCACCTAAGACTGTCAAACCCCCTGAGGAGAATCTGAAGTCCGAAAGCCTTGAGGTGTCCAGTTCCTTCAACTATAATGCGCTGCAGCATCTCGGTCAGTTCCCACCACTCATGCCCAACAAGCAGATTGGGGAGTCAGCCAGCAGCAGCAGCCAGCAGAGCCCCTCGGGGAGCAAGCCAGCCATGTCCTATGCCAGCGCACTGCGGGCACCTCCCAAGCCCAGGCCGCCACCAGAGCAGGCCAAGAAGAATAGTGACCCCCTGTCTCTGTTCCAGGAACTCAGCCTCGGCAGCTCCTCAGGCAGCAATGGCTTTTATTCCTATTTTAAATAATCACTTCTTTTTTTCCAAGGGGAAAATGTTTTAATTTCTGTTTATATTAATAGAATTAAGGTAGTTGGACTTCATCTATAGATGCACAGTTCTTTGTTTTAATATTAAATATGTTCTCACTTAATTGCTTTGCTGCTAGACTTGCAACTAATTTTTTAAAAGTATATTCCATTATTTTGCATTTTTGATGTGAGTCAATTTTGACAGCTTTTATGTAGAATAAAAAATATTTTTAAATTGGTGTATTGTTATATATGTTTGCATCAAGCTAGCAGCTAAGAGGTTAATTGTGCAACTATTAAAAAAAGAAAAAAGTTTGTCTAAAATGTATTTAAAAAGAAAATTGTAAGTAGCATTTACATTTATTCAATAATATTGCGATATGCTGGGTTTCTGTACCAGAAATGGCCAGTTGATGTACAAATGTATGTTATTTTTGCTCAAATTCATTTAAATTTTTTTAAAATAAAGGGGCAGCATCTTCTAAATACTTTAAGTTTTATCAGCTTTTTTTGGTGAAGGATGCTGCATTCTAAAACTTTCTTGGTTTTAGACTGTGTGATGTGCTGTTGTACTCTCCATCCACCATAGGATAGAGCTAAAGGCATTCTTTGCAGGTGTATTTTGTATGCCACTGTTTTTTGAAGTATGAAAAAACTTTGGCATACTTAGTTATTTTTTTGGACAAGCTACACTTCAAGCTTGTTTTTAATGTTAATTTGATAGTGTGTTTTTTAAAAACAAATCATGAAGCTGAAAAATTTTTAGGATTGTTGGTGCTTAGTAGACTTGATAACTATTTTAAAAATGCGTGAATTTAGTAAAATCCTTCTTTCTCACTATGCATGTGTAAATGTTTGTAACCTGGCTTTCCCCTTCTCCAGTGGTATAAAGAATTGTGCCGCTTTAAGATTTGATTTTTTTTTTCCTCCAGTAAAAGTTTTGGTACCTAATTTGATGTTTACATTAAAATGTGACATTATATACATGGCAATTCAAATATTTGTTTTATTTGAGGAACATCATCAAAGGAAAAAGTGTTTGTCAAAAATTAATCAAAATTCATCAAACTCTGGGGCAGAAAACTACCCTTGTTTTTCATGTCTTTCAGTTCTTCTAAAATACCCCTATTGAACTTGTATAAAATATAAAATTTAACTACCTTAAATATTCTATAGTCTGATAGTTGTCTTGAATGCGCTTTGGTAAAATCCAAAGAACAGTGTTTACCCTCTTACACCTTGTGGTCTTATGACACATTTGAAATGATGCATGTCCTTATCATTTTCCTGATGTAGTAGTACAATTTTTATATTTCAGAGATATCTTGAAACTACAGTATAACTTAAAAGAAAATAAGATGAGGCCAGGGAACATTTCAAATGAGCCCAACTTTCCTCATTATCCATTAAAAAGTAGTTTTTTGGAAGACTGCTTTTCATAGGCAATCTTGTATTCACAGTACATTTTAAGAATGGATTGAAAGTGGCAAGGATAAAGAGAAATTACTTACATCTCTCATGACTGAAGGTTAGTTTAGGTTGGCCAGCTGCAATCTTCATATCATTTGGGATAAAGGCATGTCTTTGGTTAAAGGTTAGCAAGCTACAGGACAAATGAAACGTGCCTCTTATTCATTTCTACTTTTCTGCTCAGGGTGCAGTTCATTTGTACATGGCTTCCTATTACAGGCTGCAGGTCTCGTTAGGGCGGCACATGGATACCTATAGACTGCAGACATGTTAATGGTTAGTATAAATCACAGTTGGAAAACTGAGCAGCAAGCTATAGCTCTTTGCTTTCTCTGTAGGATATGAGATTGCCACATTTAGCTATGTCAAATTTTGCTTAGCATACTTTAGTGAGAAGATGGACTTTTTTTTTTTTTGCTGTATTGCTGTGTATTTCCAACTCTATGACAAACATAGCCCAGATGAAAATTAGGTCTCCCGAATGTGAGAATGTCTATGAAGAATACTTTTTTCATCAGTGATGATCCTCCCCCACCCCCATGCATGTCTACAATACAAGCTAGATAAATTTTCAAAAGCATTTTGATAATAAGAAGGCAGAATTGTACTGTCAGGTCTTTCAGTTAACCTCTTTTAATGAGGTTATTGCCTGATTTTCTGTTTCCCATACTTGAACCTTTAAAAATAGCAATTTTTAAATTATTTATGTTTCTATTTAGGAGGTCATGTACACACCCTGCCACCTTCTATAAATATATTGATGATGGACCCTTGGATAAGGAAGCTGTGCAGTTGCTATGGCAGTTTCTTTCTAAGCAGTTATTTCTAAAACATGAACAATGATAGCTACTTACTAGTTCACTGCTCGCTCTCAATGTCCCAAGTGTTCATTTCTTTCTTGTTTCTAGTCAAGGGTTTGAATGTTCTTTCCATCTGGTAATCTTTCTGTATTCTAGATCATTCTGTAATCAAGATCTAGATTATTTTAACCCCTAACAAGCTTCCTCTTTGCCAGCATTACTTAATGCCATATTTCCAACACTGCTTTAAAGAATCTTATTTATGGATACTTAATTTGTAATGATTTGAGCAAGTATTACTATAAGAATCATTGCAACTTTGTAGTTATTAGCAAGTACCTATAAGTCAGACTGATAAAATAACTTATTTTCTTATTTCATGCGCTAGGTTCAACCTTAGAGAGCTCAGATGGAACATATACATACATATATTAATATATGGATTTTTTAAAAAAGCAACTTGATGATAGCTCTGGGATAATACCAATTATTACCAACCTCCTTTTTTTCTGGAACAGATTTCTTCTAAGTGAAGATAACTGTTCCATGATTTCTTTCTACTTCTTTGTTCCTTGTATCACTCTCAAGTTTCCTTGTTCTTGCCAAAACTATGTTTCATTTATTCCACTTTTTAATTTCAGTGCAACTTAAGATTTTCTTTCTTTTTTAGTCCTAAAGAAATTTTTTTGGGTAATAGAGAATTTGTAGATTATTTCTGCTATTTATTTTCCTGATCTAAAAATGATTTTTTTTGTTAAGATATGAAGAACCTCATTCACTATAATATGGCTGTTTCCCAGTGTGCTTTTAAAAAGGAGTTTTGGTTGCCACTTTGGCATATGCTTTGCCAAGTTGTTAGAGCAGAGCTTTTTTTTATGATTAATCAGTAGTTAATTATTGACCATTTAAACTAATGTGACCTTAATTTTCCTTTTTCCACACAGCTCTGCTTTTCATGCAGGTCATCTTGTAATCCAAACTGCTTGGTGTTTGTTTGTTTGTTTGTTTTCATCAGAGATTTTAAAATAAATTCAGATAAACACCTAGTCTTTTTAGTTCAAAGAATTGCAGAATAAGTAAAATAAGCAAGAATCCCCACCGAATAAGCATTACCTGTTTAAACATAGTCATCTCCAAGACCTATTTATGAAAGTACAGGAATTGAAATTGCTGAGAAAGCTAACTGCATTTTCTAACTTTGAGATCATTCATATACAGTATAGTAGTATGTTGCTCTAGTGTAGATCATTTTATGTTTTTAATATATTTCACCTAAAGAGCAAAGCTATAAACATAAAAGAATTTATCTCTAGCCACCTTGGCCAAGAATCAGGGTGTGAAAACAATTTCCAGATAAAGTTTAGAATTTCAGCTATTGTAATTAAGAAAAGTAGATTTCCTGAGATAGTTATTTAAAAAGAGACACCATGATAGCAGTGTTCCATAGTGAAGTTGTTTTTAAAAAGGGAATCCCAGAAAATGTGTATAAAAACATATGGTTAAATTTCCAGTATAGCGAAAGATACATATTGCTGCTTTAAAAGGACTTTTTCCATACTTCTCCCTCCTTGCAGCTCCTCAAAGACACTAATTTGTCTTTTCTGACTTAACAGACATTATTTCTTGCCAACAATCTTTCTTAACACGAAAATCCTCATTTCTACCACTAGCTTGCACATTTTCCTGAATCTTGCAGTAAATATCTTGATGGATCTGATTTCTCTCTCCCCTCTTTGTCATCTGATCTATGTTCAAACTGCCTAGAAATTAGAAAAATGGATAGTGTTCTATTGATTTCTTATTGAAAATACCACTTAGTGGTGTCAGTCATATTACACAGATAACCATCATGAAAGATTATGGGATGTTAGTCTTCAAAGTGCTCATTATAAGAGGCTTCTCACATTTTCCATCTACTGAAGGTTGGACATCTATTTGCTGAGACTTAACTCTAAGTCTGCTAAATTCACAGTTACCATTTTCATCCCTGTTTAATTAGCAATCTCAAGACTGTTGTTGGAAGGAGTCTTAGCAATGTTTAACATTCTTATTAAATATTCAGAAAATGGCACAATGTTATTACTTTAAACTAGAATATCAGGTTAAATGAAAAAATAATTTCAATGTAACGTTTAAAAATTGGTACCTATTGAAAATACCTACTTTGCAATGTACTTTTTTTTTTTTTTTGCAATGTACTTTTAACAGTCATCAGAGTTTCTAAATTTTCATTGAAGGGAGGTACCTAATAGAAGAATCTAGACTTAGAAATGTGAACTGTGGTTAAACCCTAGACCCAGTTATACAGTGGTAGTCTAAAGCTTCTAAAACTGGAGTGTTCAGAAGATCCAGAGATGTTCATAGTGTGTAGTTTCAGTAATCAGAATATTAGACCAGAGTTTATTTGCAATTCATTCAACAGAGAGATTTTATTTTGATACAAATATTAAGCATAAAGCATTATAAGTTTTATATAATTCTATGAGTTCATTGAACAATTGATGAAATTTTCATTTTGTTCCTGGGGAGCCTTTTTAGCTATTTCTACCTCATATATGAGGTCTCTTCTGTATTTTATTTCTCATACTAGCATGTGATTGCCTGCCTTAGAACTATGTATAGGAGGGAAAAATCAGTATTACCTTTTAAGAAATTTTTGATTTTGAAATAATTTTCATGAATACTTTCTAAACGTTTGTGAGAAGTAAAGGGGAAAGAATGGAAACTTACGTCGGTTTCAACATGGTAGTATCTACATACAAACCTGTCATGTTTTAAGATTTTAGAATAGTGACAGCGTAAAGGAAAAAAAGAAAAGAAAGGAAAGAGGAAAAAGGTAGTATTCAAACTTCAGCCAGCATCAGACGTAACCTGGAGGTTTTCTTGAAGTATAGATTGCTGGACCCCACCCCAGGTTCTGGATTCTAGGCTGAAATCTGACCACTGGCATTTGCAACAAGTTCCCCACAGTGCTGGTGCTGGTTGGTCCAGGGATTGCACTTTGAAAATCACATGTCTCCAGTAAGTTTGAAGGTGTTTCCAGTGGTGCATTTATTTACTTGGTATAAAAAGCTGATCTCTTAAATCATTTTTAGAATTCTGATAACCTGAGTGGCATATTCCTGGAGAAAGATCTCTAAGCCTTTGGATTGACTGCCACCTCCATTTTTCCTCCCCTGGTGGGGGTCTGTGCTGCTCTTTGTCATTAGGGTGAAAGAGCCCTTTCATTTCTAGGGTGAGATTGGTTTTGTGTACGCTGCTGCTTGGGCTTTGGTCTGGAAGCTGTGCGTTTGTTTGATGTGCTTAGAGTCAATCTTGATGATCCCTACACATGGAGAATTGTGGAAAGAAGCCATCTGAAGGTCACGAGAATGCACTTTGCATTTATCGAGGCACTAAGTACAGGAGTCCCTGTCCTAAGATAGCAGTGACATGGAGCATTGAAAATGATAGGTAATACCCAAACAACATGTAGTTTTTATGGGGGGGGGGTTGGGGGGGTTGGGAGGGTGACGGATTTGCTTTTCAGATTGTGTGTTTCTCAGGTTAACAAAGTTATTTTGGATTTCTGCCATGCCAGCAGGTGTCAGGGAGAGCCTGAGATGCTGTATGTGACAGAAAATGAGTAATTGTTTTTGATTCCTTTGCTACCTTTAAAAAGAAATCTGTATATGTTTGCAAAACAGTCTAGGGCAATCTACCACCTACACAGCATGAGTTATTCATAAATCATAGGTGCACATGTATGAGCAAGTTATTTTTGAGAAAGAAATTGCCTATCACAATCTTGACAGGTCTTTGGATATTTTTACATTTGTGTGTTGTTGCTGTTGTTGTTGTTTTAATATTCACCCTGGACTGTACCTTGGGGATTATTGGGGCTCTGCTTCTGGTTTTTAGTTTGCCTTTGAATTTACTGAAATGCTAGCAAGAATAAAACCTAATTTTAAGGTGATAGACTATAGAACGATTTAGGTGTAGAAGTATACATGATGACCATCATAGAATGCACGGCTTTAGAATTCTTAATTCTTCCTGCTTAAAAAGCTTGATGATCTTTTGTGAGGATTGTTCATATGTTCAGCTCAGGTTCCTTGATGCAGTCCCAACTTATAGGGAACTTTGGTTTATTTACACTTTGCTTTGCATGACACTGTGTATGTGGAGACCTCTTTATATCTTTTGGTAGGTCAGAGGTCTCTTTTGTCCAAGTTAAAGTCCCAAAGTGTCAGTTACACTTGAGATTTTATATATCCAGACCACACATGATCCTATAAATCTGTGTATATGACATTATGTACATTACGTACTGTATCTGATTTCTGTGCCAGTCAGCTGACCTGATTCTTTGAAACCCATGAAGGTACTGGTTATATGTAGTATGTATCCTGGGTAAATATGGTGATTAAAATACTTCTCTAAATTATAAAAGTAATGGGTTTTGCATTTTTATTAAAGGGTCCTGTTATTAATGACAGGATTTTTTTTAATGCTTCAAAAATATAGTTCTTATCTAAACTTGTTCAGCTAACTTCATAGGATCAGTTGCTTAGTAAATTCATATTGGTTCTTATTTTGGAAAGCCTTTCTAAGGGAGGCTATATAAAACAGCTGGTAAGTTTCCATCTCTTCAAGGGACCAGTTGTGTGGCCATCTAAGCATATTTATGGCAAAATTATTATTTTTCTTTGCAGTAAATGATACCTCATCTAAGAGGCTCTAATACCTAAAGAGTTTATTCTTAAAGTAAAAATGACTTTGTATAATAATATAACCCCAAAGCTACTCTCTAGGGTTTTTTTCTTTCTCTGTCTTTGTCTTTTCTTTTATAGTTTAATTTCTGGAATTACTTTAGCTACTTTGGTTCCTTATAACAGGTTTTCATCTTGGGGTCTACAGTTCTACGGTGTGATCATTGTCTCAGTGAAGTTCTTTTATTTTAAAAGATTCATGGTAACACAAAATGTATTTTACTGCTACAACTAAAATGTATTTATAATAAAATGCCTTTTTAATAATTTGGAGACTTGTTTATTAAGTGTGAAATATAATTCTCGACTTCTTTTACTTTTAAGTTCAAAAGTATTACAGATGTTAAGCATGGCACTTAAATGGTAAAAGCCAATATAAATGAGAACTCAGCATCAGTTTGTAAAGTTGTAACACTCATTTCCAGAAATTTATGACTTCATTTAAATCCCCAAACTTCAGGAGTAGCAAAAGCCTTAAGATTTATAGTCTTACCTTAAAGTTTAAAGGGCATTAGTGGTCAGTGAGAAAATGAGTACTTTTCAATTTGTCATTCAACACAATGTGAATTTCTTAAAAATATTATGAATTATTCTTATCACATCACTTAGTTGTTAATTCTGTGCATTTATGGCCCAGAATTTGAGAACTCAAAAATATAGTTTACACAAATATATTATGAAGGTATAATAATAGACTTCAAAACAGTGTGTACCAAATCTTCATTTAAATATTCAAAAAACAAATTGTTGCAAGTGTAGAAAATTGCCTTGAGTCAGGGTCTTATTTTTGTTGGGGAAATGATTGTTTGCATCTGCTATGATGTGACTTTGAGAAGCATTATCTGGTCACCAAATGCTTTGTGTGCCGTCCCTATTTTTTACATCCTATTAATGGAACACTATAACTCTACCTGGAATATACTGTACTGAAGGTTTGTAAATGTAAGTAAATAGGGCAGCCTTTCACAAGGACAGTTTAACATTTATATTTATTGCAGTGAATCTGTTTTTATACTGGTTGTCTTTTCTACGAATTGAATTAATACAACATGACGTAAAGCTCTGAATTTTGGAAAGAAAAAACAGTTGTTTACATAAAAGTCAAGTGGATTTGGAGAACTTGAACTAATCTCTACACTACAAGTGACCCAAGGCCCCAAAGTCAGTGGGAAAATGCAAATATGACCCATGTTAATTCCTGTGCCTTCTTGGTACCCTTTGGAACACTTCTGAGAATGGTGTTAGTGTGTAAGTTAACATAAAACTGTAATTGATAAAACAGTCACTGGCTTTCGTCAGACTGCAAGGTGAGATGTGTGTGGAACACGGGTCACATATACAGAAGGAGAACGGGGGCAGCAGACATGGCATGGAGAGTGGTCTGCACTGAATTTGGTTCATCTAGGACCTCTGAATGCACTGTAGTAGGTTTTAGGCAGCCAAGGAGCCCTTAGTCTGAGAGTGATTCTGCTGCCTGGGTTACATGGTTTTGTCCAAAACAATCAATTCCTTACTGGATGAAAATTCTCTTTAAGGTTCAAAGAACCACCTGTTGATTGCACTGCCTCATTTCCTGTTCATTTTGTCAGCTGTAGTCAGTTACATCTCTGGAACAATCCAATTGTGCCCCTCTTTGTCTGAAGAGCCACTGTCCTGTATTTCTTAGCCGTACTGTGGAAGCATGTCAAGTCTGGATCCTGAGCTACAGCCACCAGACTGCAGCACACCACTCCCCCATTCCTGCCTGAACAGGCCCTTGACTTTCTTTTTGAAGCATTTCCTTCAGTCTTCCTACCCCCATTCCCCAAGGCTACTTTGGGGACCTCTACTTATTAAGACTGGAAATTCCACCTCTCTCTACTCTCCCTTTTCCTCTGTGCCTACAACTGAGAGTTGTCTCTTTTTTTTTATTACCGTTTTGAGTTTCTGAACTTACATGAGGCAGGGATCACAACTTTAGACCCCGAAACCTACAGCACTAGCCTTTCACCTTTTACAGAAAGGTTTTCACAAATGCTAAACTGGATCTCAAGGTTTGAAAAGAGCTTAACGACACTTTCCTCTCTTCATTGGCATCCTTTGCCAACACAGTGTGTTGACAAATACTTGGCAGGTGACAATACTTGGCAGTAGTGATGGCCTGGGGTAGAAGAATGAACTGTTGCAACAATGTCCCCCACCCACTCTGTACAGCTCTGTTAAATGGTGGCAAAGCAGTAGTAGCGTTCACAAGTATTTTGTGTCATACCAGTGTTAGAATCTTTCACTTGACAGCGTCACCATGGTTATGTCAATTTTGATGGTTGCTGCCTACCTTAACATAGCCTGGTCCGTGGGCATATATATACCCACCATGCAGAGTTCCGGAATCGTGACAAAATTCCCTTTTGTCTAAAGCTCTGGTTGCTGTTAAATCTGCAGAGAAGTAATTAAATGGAACAGAAGTGGCAGCTTGCAAACTCATGGTATTATCCCACTTGTAGCTCATTAAAACTGATGTTCTGCAAATTGATCTAAACCATTGTTTCAGGAAACTGAGCTGCTAATCCTGAGCAAGTGGTGCTGGTTAGTGGGTGCGAAGGAGCCAGCTAGACTCTGACGACGCTGACGACAAGCCAACTGGATGTGAATAGTTTCTGAGTGTCAGAGGCTTTGCAGAGAAAACTCAAGAATGTTCTAATTAGTCCTCAGCCTCTGTTTTCTTTACATGCAAAAGATACAAGAGAAGCTTAAGGAAAGGTCCCGAAATCACAAAAGTAGGTGGCTTTATCTTTGTCCCTGGTCTTCAGCCCCACCTGCTGTTTTACAAAGCCAATCAGAAGTGGGTGCTTGAGACTGAGGCTTTTTCTCGAAGCCTGTCAGAGGCAAGCTCCTTAACTTTGTGACCAGGTATAAACCGAATTCCATTAACCTCAGACAAAATTAACAGATGACTGGGGGGTAGGTAAGGGAAGAGGATTTACATTGAGAAATGAAATCTATTTGTAGAAGGCTACGGTTCAAATTAGTATCCCCAAAGACCTGTATGTTAAAGGCATGGTCCCCAGCCTGTGGCACAATTGGGATGCGGTGTGATCTTTAAAAGGTGGAGCCTAGTGGGAGATCTTTTGAGTTACAGTGGGGCATGATCTTGAAAGGGATTGTGGGACACAGGTCTCTTTTCCCTTCCCTGGCAAGCTCCAAATGGTTTCCTCTGCCATGTGTACCTGTCAGGATGTGCTGTGCCACAGGGGCAGTCTGTCATGGACTGAAATCTTAAAAACTGTGAGCCAAAATAATACTTTTCTTTTTGTAAGTTGACTTATCGCAGGTATTCGTTACAGTAACATAAACCTGAGAAGCACAGGGACCCTATATGCCATCTGGTAACACAATAATTCCTGCTGGGTTGGTTCAGCTAAAAGGGTGGAAGATCAACTGTTGTGAGAAAAAAAAAAATTGATCTAGTGTAATTAAAGGTGGGTTTGTAGCTTCCCAAAAGGCACTTCTGGGAACGTCTTGTACTCAAGGCTGTCAGCTGATGTGCCGTAGCTCAGAAAATCATCTCATCTCTGAGCCATGCAGCCCCAGGCTCCACTGTAGCAAATGCAGCTGCTTTGGTCTCATTCATCTGATTCAACCTGCGGACAGAGACAACTCATTCTGGCTGCAGACATCTGACATCAGGGAACTGGATCAGGAAGGATCCTTTTTGGGCTCCTTTCTTGCTTCCAAAGTCTTCCTTACTTGGCTTTCCCATTCTTCCTTGTAGCTCCTCCCACCCCTTCCCCAAGTACTGAGATTGAATTTAGAGCCTACTCACTGAGCTATATCCCTGGTCCTTTTTTTATTTTTTATTTTGAGGCAGGGTCTTACTGAGTCACTAAATTGCCCAGGCTGGGTTTGAACTTGTGATCCTGCCTCAGCTGCCCAGAGTGCTGGGATTACAGGTGTGTGCCACCATGTCTGGCTTCCTTGCAGCATCTTTACATGCATTCCCTCTTGCCCATTTGCCCTCTCAACAGCACTAATTCAGTGTACCAGCATGTCCTGAGGCCAGTGTTGTAGATACTGTGTGGAAGATGTGGAAGGAGGATTGGGGCAGGGAAGGTTTTAGCTGCTAGGATGATTCTGAAGAAAGTACAGGCTTTACCTTCAAAGAGCTTATAATCAGCAAGACATGTAAGCCCAATGAGTTGTACTGGGAATATGAGCAAAGTGTCAAGGACACAAGAAAGAAAGAAGGATGATGTTTGCACTGAGGGGTTGGAGAACATGTGACCTCATGATGTCAGCTGGGCCTGCAGAGTATGTAGACCCATAGGTTAGAAGAGGGCAGACCAAAGAACCCTGCTAAATCTCAGCGTGTTCAGACTCAACTTTAAAGTCATCCTCCAGGGAAGAGGGGTTGAAGGAGGGAGGGGAGGGGAATGGGGGAAATAAGAAGCAAGATATATCATGTACAGGTATAAATTCCCTATGATGAATGTGATCATTATGTATACCTAAAATGTACCAGTAAAAATAAAGCCACCCTAAAAATAAAGTCATCCTCCATTGAATTTAAGTTCCTGAAGGTTGGGACCATAACTTGTTCCTCATTATGTCCTAGTTTTGCATGGTGCCTTGCCTAGCACACAATGTTGATAATGAAGATGGAGGGCAAAATACTGGTTCCGCCTAAAAGTCCTCGTTCTCACCCTCAGAACCTGTGAATATATGGCTATATCCTAGCATGGTGGTGCATGCCTGTAATCCCAGCACTCTGAGAGACTGAGGCAGGAGGGATCACAAGTTTGAGCTCAGCCTCGGTGGCTTAGTGACTACCAACGCCCTGTCTCAAAATTAAGAAAGGGTTGGGAATGTAGCTCAGTGTGAGAATCCTGAGTTCAATCCCTGGTACTGCCCCAAACCAACAACAACAGCAACAACAACAAAACAAAAACAAACAAAAAACTCCCAAGCTATTTTAGGGTAATTGTTAAACTGAGCAAGTCATGTTTCCCTAACAATGATACCCTAACTTGCATCTCCTTGTGTTTTAGAGCCAGAGACTAGAATCGGCAGGACTCCAACAAGGAGCCAGTCCAGCACGCCACTCTACTGTAACAAGAGTTGGTTTCACTTTTACAGATGAGAAAACAAAGGCCCAGAGAACATTCACAGCTCGCTTTGTCTAGAAGGCTTTTTCTGTCCCACAGGGCCTCAGCCTACAGGCCAGCACATGGTAGGAGCTAGCAGATGGGAGTGGTTTAGGGGTGGCCCTTGGCCTTGAAAAGTCTGCAAAG